TGTTGTTCGTTCCAACTCGTGTAGTCTACTCAGGAAATTGAGGTGCTAAATAAACAATTGCTGCTGATTATTTTTAACAAACTCACCCAGGGAAAAGGTTGTTTACACTGGGCACACTTTGAGAAATGTCAAAGACAAGCCCTGAGATAAGGACTTAGATGGAACTGCCAGACAGGTCAAATAATGACAATTCACTGGGAAAGGGGCTTTGGAGGAGCTCCAGCCCCACTCTGTACCCTCCCATGGTTGCTAAACTCCTGGGTTTCACCATGATTGTGGGGCTTTTCATTTCCAAGGCTACCATGGGGCTAGGAAAAGGGGGATGAAAATAGAGCAATTTAAAACATCGCAAAACTTGCTGTTCTTACCAAAGTGCAACCATTTTTCTTTAATAAATATTTCTGGATTGTTGCAAACCTTTGGTTAACTTCCAGACAGTTTCTGCCAGTGTTCCCATTGCTTTCATGGAGAGACAATTTTCAGAGGACAGCAACACTCAATCTGCCTTTGGGGAAGACATCTTTAAAATATCACTGAACCTCTGGGGCTAATGGGATAACCCCATCTTCTTTAAGGAGAAGGGGCAGCTACTGACAGCAAGCAGGACCAGCCTCCAAGAGAAGTCCTCCACAAGCTTTGAACCTGTCCACTCTCAGGATCCTAAATAGTTTCCTGCTCGGGTCCATGTGTACTTGTCCCTGCACCCTGCCTGTGCAATCTACATGGTGTCTAGTGGGTATGTGTTATATAGCATATCAGAAACTTGTTTGGAGTGCTTAACCAGCCAGGGTTTGCATTTATGGAAGGCCCTTTCTCTGTGTCAGAAGTGTGTTTATGGAGTGAAAGCAGCCATCTATGGGAAAGATGTCCAGAGCATTCAGCCTCATCATGCATGAAGTCACAAGTTAACTATAGTTTACATAAATGACACTAACTGCCAGAGGTGTGCAAGACTTACCATACACCTGGTCTTAGTAAAGTCTTAGTAAAGACTTCATGGCCTTCTGGCTGATTGTAGAATCCTTTCAGAAAGCCCCTCTACCTCCTCCCTTCTCACAACCATGGGACTCATCTGGCAATCTGCATCATGATTCAGACAATATACAAGACATGTAAGACATGGACTGGATTTTGGCTGTGGAAATTGTTCCAATGCTTCACCCTAGAGGAGCTCATTACACTTTCAAAAGACAATCTGTTGGCTTATGTATTCAGTAACATGCTGGGGTCAGCAAACAATGGCCACATCTGGCTTGTGTTTGTGTGTACTAAAAAAAAGAAATAAAAATAAAAATAATTTAAAAGTAGGCTCCATGACCAGCATGTAGCCCAATGCAGGGCTTGAACTCATGACCCCGAGATCAAGACCTGAGTTGAGATCAAGAGTCAGACGCTTACCCATCTGAGCCACCCAGATGCCTCTGTTTTAAATTTTTAAAGAGTTGGTTAAAAAAAAAAAGAAGAATATGCAACAAAGAACCTGTTTGGTTTGCAAAGCCTAGAATATTTACTAATCTGACCCTTTCCAAAAAAAGTCTGTCTACCTCTGAGTGACGAAGTCATGGATTCAAATAGCCAGTGCTCTCCTAGGACAGTCAACAACCACAATAAGATGATAGAACCCAAGGGCACAAAAATACTTGAAATATTACTTTACTTTAATGCTCTGGGAATTTTAAACATTCATAAAATCACCTTATTTTCAGAAGTAATTTCCTCTTAGGTACAGATTCTGTGTTCAGGATCAGAGACAAGTGTGTCACTGCATTTTCGCCACAGCCGCCACATGCTGCAGGAAACCTAACTCTGGCACCTTGTCTTCTCTAGTAGAGTCCCCCCCACGCCCACAACAGGGCTGGGTCCACACGTGCTGGACACAACCTTGGCTGTCAATGAAAACACCCTCTGGGAGCTTCACCACTGCTTGCGGATTCCGTGGATCCCATACATTTCCAGCACTGCTAAGTCTGAGATAATGATCCTGAGGCACTAGTTTGAAACATCAAGTCAGCTGGGAAGTATGCCGGCACCTGCTCCACTGTATCCTACAGACACGGAGGCACTTCAATGTTCTGGGTAAAATCGAGTTTAGGATTACGCCAGGAGTTAAGTGTGAGGGAAGGGGCTTTTCTCTCAAGCGTTAATAATCTTAACACATATTTAAAAGATTTATAAATTCCTGTCTGTTTACATTTGTTGTCAGGGCTTCACAAACTGTGTGAGTAAATGAAAGCACGTTTGCGTTTACAAATGCTGGGACAGGAAGCAAAAAGAGAACGTGCTTAGACAGCAGTTGCCTGTATCAGGGCAACACCATGGTCATTCTTAAAGAAATGCCTGTCCTTCCAAAAGGAACTTTAAAAAAAAAAGTCCTAGGCCTTATCTGATTATTCTAAGGTAATAATGCATTTGTCTTTCCTTCTCAAGCAGTGGTTGAAGGCATCTCAGAGCATACTGATGCCTGACGTTTGGATTCGATTGGTCAGAGGTGGGAGAGAGGGGGAGGGTGTAGACACCAACATTTTTTAAAAGCTTCCCCAGTGAGTCCAGCATACCGTCAACACTGAGAACCTTGGTACTACAGGTTCTCGAGTCTTCCTAATTTCACCTGTCCTCACTAAACGCCCTTGAGGTAGTCCCTGGGTCAGGCAACAATTTCTTCCATGAGATAAGAAACTAAGGCACAGTGAGGTTAACGAGTTCATCTCACACTGTGCAGCTAAATGACACCACCAAGACTGGAATCATCTCCAAATAAAGAACACCTCCTCCCCCAGCAACTGGCGAAATGTACTCGGACTGCACATATAAAGACTAACTGAAGAGCGAGGCATAACCATCTGTGCCAAGGATATCATGGAAGGGTATGGAACAGTTCAGAGGCAACCATCCCACTTGATTGAAAATAAATGCATAAAACAGATACTTATTTGAAACCATGTGAGGAATGAAGCAGAACCTTCTTTTCAAAGCCTTACTTCCCTCACGTATATGCTACTGATTTAAATTTCTTAGAAAATCCATCAAGATCCATGAACTTCCAACATCTATTCTTAGCTCTGTCACTGTAAGCGCTGGAAAACTCTCAAATGTCCCTTTAATTTGGGTCGAAAAGATTGCTACAAATCTGCGTTCACATGTGATAGCACTACGGAAACCTCCATGCTTTCCCCAAAACCAGTCCACAGAGACCTCCCAAGGACTCAGACACTTAGACTTTCTAGACACTAACCCAACAGTGCTGGGCCTCCAAGACTGACCTCCACCACTAACTGTTTTATTTTGCTCTGGATGCAAACCTCATTATCTGTTTTCTGGGTAACCACCTGGGCTTTTGTCTTGTAATTCCAAATTCACAGAAAAGCTAAACCAGCTGGGCCCTTCTCCTTCACCCCGACATAATGCCATCACATCCTACACCCACTGCTGCATCTATGAAATATTCCTTTCTTCACTGTAAGCTCCCACATCTCATCATGTTTGAGGAGGCGTTGCTCTCTTTTCTCTTTTTAAAAGTCTCCCTGACTACAGAACTGTTGTCTGGTGACAAGTAGAAAGAATAATGGAGCACATATATACACGCAAGAAGAACACAGCATGTATTAGACAGGGGGCCTGCTGTGGTTCCCAGCACACTCTATGGAGGACCTGTTCAGTCAGCTCACACTGAAGGCAAGTAGCATCTTGTTCTTCCCACTGGTACTGATGCAGCCTCCTGAAAAATCTACAGAATATTTGATCCAGTAAACGGAAACTACACCTAATAGGACACATTTGTTGACCTATAAGATGCTCTGTGGAGCTCTGAAACCATGTCTTTCCCAGGCCAGACATACACTCGTTCGGAGCCTCACCCTGATGTCAAGAGGCAGAAGCAGAGAAAAGAACAAAACCCTGGAACAAAACCTCTTCCAGCTCCTGCAGGAGGTGCTTGGAGAGCAAGACAATGGAGGAAAGCCGCCTGGGTCTGGGGCAGTGCCACCTGGTGGCGGCGGTGGGGTGTATGTGGAATTCTACTCTCCTGCCCCCTAGAGGGGTTAAAACAGCAACAACAATAACAACAACAACAACAACAACAACAACAAAAAGAGAACAAAAGGGAACTTTGCAAAAGTGCATGTAGAGTTCTGGTTAAAACCAAGATAACTGAGAATCATCATATTTCAAAGATCCACCATACCCAACTATTAAGTAAAGCAAGACATCATGTTTTTTTCTCTCTCATGCTTATTTGATGCTTATGTTGTGGCAAACTTGCTGTTTGGTTTCTAAAACATGCACAGAGCAGATCGAGAGCAGCATTTGCCGTTTTGGTGCCCAGCCCACAGCAACCCTGACAGGTGACTGACCAAACACTATCAGGAACGTGGTGAGGAAAACCCCCTTTGCCGCGAGGTGGCGCCTAGCACGGAACCAAGGACTGTTGGTGCATGCTTGTCCAGACTCCCACGGGCAGGGTGCTGTGGAGAGGGATGGGCGGGGAACACATCGGCCACCTCCCGAAAGCTATCACATCCGATCCCTGTCCCAGACAAAAGGGTTGCAGCTGGGCATAGAGCTAAGGCACTAAGGCTGCAGCAGGTGGAAAGACACCAACCAAAGGTCCAACAGTCTCGATCCCCAGGGAGGACAGGCGCTGCTCACAATGCTGCCTTAGGATAAAAATTGGATTTTTTTTTTTTTTTTTTTAAAGAACGAGAACATAAAATAATCAAGTCCCTGTCTTTTCCCCTTAGAAGAATATTGTACTCTCCCCTCAGAGAAGTTTGCCGCGGTTTTCACATCTCGACAGCAGTGCTGCGAGCGCCACCTGGGAACCCCTGAGCAACCACTCTTCGGGGAAGTCGCCTTTTTTTCTCATGCTCTCTCTTCCATCACGGCTTGGCCGGTTGCCTCTCTTTCTCCAGTTCTGGCTTGCGAATGAGCGATCCTGACCTTTCACCTTCCCCTGGAGCAGGAGCTCATGCTTCTTCTGAGGCAGCTCTGGGCGCCTCCCTGGGTCACAGCTTGATGAACGCGGCCGGCTGGACGTGCTGTGGCTCCACGTCTGGGGGCGGGAAGACACTGGATATGGCTATGTCCACGATGCCCTGGCACAGTTCTGCATAGAGCTTCCTGAAACGGGTTTTTAGAAATATCACTGAAGATGTTCATCAAAATGCACATGAAAAGTCATGATGTTTATCACCAGGACCTGCCCTAGATGTTCCATCTCGTGACCAAATTTATAAAACTGGTTTCCACCATACATACGAATGCTGCACGAGGCATGGCATGAAGATAAAGCACCCCGTTAACAAACATTTCTAGAAGGTCTCAGGTGAACAGACAAACAGCTCCTGCTCTCACCGGCAGGAAAGACGGGCAATTTTCAAGGGCAAGTCTTTCATCTGGCCTGTCTGCAGTGGGTATACTGCCCCCTCTCTGTGTGGCTGAGGAAACTCCAGGAAAGACAGCTAAGGAGTCACCCAGGAGTGACAGCTAAGCCAAGTTCTGGAGAACGAGTGAAGTCAGACAAACAGTGGATGACGGGGGTGGGGGCTGAGTGGCTCAGTCAGTTAAGTGTCTGACTTTGGCTCAGGTCATGATCTTGCGGTTCACAAGCTTGAGGCCCGTGTTGAGCTCTGTGCTGACAGCTCAGAGCCCGGAGCCTGCTTTGGATTCTGTGTCTCTGCCTTTCTCTCTGCCCCTTCCCTGCTCATGTTCTCTCTCTCAAAAATAAGTAAAAACACTTTTAAAAATTTAGAAAAGAGGATGGAGGAGAGGAGAGACAGACCCAAAAAGGCAGAAGGAGGGGGAAAACAGGGAAGGGGAGAGGAGGAGAGAAAGAGAGAACATGTTGGGGGAGGGGGAAAAGAGGGGCAGCGCCCACGGAAGGAGCAGTGTGCACGGAGAGTGGGTTTTACAGGGGCAAGAGCTGAAGAGGAGGTCCCTGTTGGAGGCTCTTGGCAAAAGCGTCCACGGTGACGGAGGATGACCTGTGGGAGAGCGAGGGCAGGGGAGGTGGACGGCAGGGGACTGCCAAGGCTGGAGGCCAAGCTGACAAGCCTCAAGCCAGAATCTGAGGGTAATAGAGAGAAGGAGGCCAGATTTGGGTCAGGATTCCAGCTTAGATTCTGTGCAGAGGGGAGGTGGTCATTCACGGGGACGGGCGAGCCTGGGGCAAGGGGTGCCTCTCGGACAGCCACAGACATCCTTGCAGGACGGTGGGCAGGCCGGTGCAGACACTGGTCTGGAACTTTGGCTGTGATGCAATTTGGTGGTTTTAAAATTATGAAGTTGAATAAGATCACGTTCAGGGAAAGCGTAATAGAGAAGACAAACAGCCAGGGCGATGAGGAACAGGGGGCCAATCTTGCCCACCCCTCCTCAGGCAAACCCTCCCGGTACAGAGTGTGCCTGAAGCCACAACAGAAGAGCGTCTCAGCAAGGTGTGAGCAGCTGCCTCAAACATTGCCGAGAGGCTCAGGGAAGTGCAGACAGAAAGGGGCTGCTGGACTTGGCAACGTGGACTCGGCTGGGGACCTTAGAGCAGTTTCTATGGGATGGAGGGGACAGCATCCAGCCCAGAATGATCCACGGCATGCATGAGGGCAGAGGAAGAGGAGACGGCCTGAGCAGGCGCTGCTTTCTAGAAGTCTGGCTCTGACCCGAGTGGGGAGGAGGAGTCTCTGGAGCAGGACATGGCATTAGGGGAGGGCTCTTTTCTGACAGTTGTGGAAATCTGCTGTACACCCACGTGCTGATGGGAACCACACCCTGAAGGGGGAGAAAGGATGATACTGTGAATGAGGAAGGCCAGGGGACGTAGGACAGGAGTGGGGATAGGGCACAGAGCACGAGGGAGGACAGAACCTTTACTGCAAGGACAGGGGAAAACGGGCAGGCTGAGGTGGATCTGGTGAAGAGAAGATGTGAGCCAGCCTGCTCTCCCCCTCGCTTCAGTCTGCTCACCTCTCCTTCCTCCTTCCGACTCAGTTCCAAACACCACCCCTCAACAGCAGCCCTTTGCTCAATGATATTACCGTTCACATCCTTTACCAAGGATAAAATGTCCCAGCTTGTAATCTGTATTTGTCTGGTCCTCTGTCATGCCCGCAGTCTCTCTAAGGGCAGGGTCTGCATCTCTGCTCATGACTGTGACTCAGGGCCCAGTTCGGGGCCTGGCGAGTTGGGGGGTACTAAGAGTACTGGTTGGCTGAAGGGAGTGCCGAACAAGACGAATCACACCCGCCATGTCGCAGCCACTGAGCGTGTGGCAAAGGCCTGGCTCCTAATGAAAGAGCTACTTGTGTGTTAATACTGCCGCTTGTAGGTTTGGGACTTTCTCCTAAACCTGTGGAGGAAGATCACCTCAACTCCTCCAGGACATGGATGTGGGGAACCACGGAGGGGTTTCGACCTGATGAAAGTGAATCTTTAGAAAAACCAGCAGCATATGAGGATAAGGTCCGTCTGACTTTCCCTTACATCTAAGGCCTCCATCATGCTTTTGAGGGCACATTCTGTTCATCTGTGCAACTCCCATAGCTCCTGGCATGGGGCATGGTTCCACTGGATGCTATGTCCCCCTTCTGAAGACTCTCCCCTCCTCCTCTTGGTGCATGTGACACTCTTCTCTTACATACCATTTCTAGCTCCACTGTGCCTACAATGCCTTCTCAGAACACTTCTTGCCCAGGGAGCCCCTCGATTTCTTGGTCCTCACCGTCCCGGTCCACTCACAGGACCTGCTCCCTGAACCGGTCACACAAGAGGGTCTCCTCTGGCAGTTTTTTAGCTTTGTTGAAACTTTCATAGCAACTACCGCCCACTTGAGCACAGACTACTGCTCAACACACATGGGGGAATTAGGAAGGACTGACTCAGCAAAGCCCCCTGACCCCCGCCAGCCAGGGTCCGGCCAAAGGATACCTTCCCTGACAGCAGTTACATGGTCTACACTTGAACACTTTGGTAATGGGAACTCACTACCTTGCCAAGATAGGCTATTCCTACTGTGGAACCAACTTCCCATTTGTTAAAACGCAGGGGTGTTCAGGCTTACTGGGCACAAGCTGGGGCGCCGTTGACCTCAATGAGCCAGACCTTCAGCTCCTCGTCCACCATGAAGTCAAAGCCAAAGAGCTGGAAGCTCTGGTAAGGGAGGTGCCTGGTGCTGATGGCGGGCTCCACGCTCATGAGGCAGCTTCTGTGGGGCAGAGTGGGAGAGCTCGCTGAGAATGGGTTGGTTGAGGGAGAAGGAACACAGAAGACATACTTGGATGATTTTATATCAAAAGTGCTGATAAAAATCCACTTTGACTTAGTTTTTATTTTATTAAAAATTTTTTTTAAATGTTTTATTTATTTTTGAGAGAGGAAGAGAAAGAGGGTGAGTGAGCAAGCAGGGCAGGGACAGAGAGAGAGGGAGACACAGAATCCAAAGCAGGCTCCAGGCTCTGAGCTATCAGCACAGAGCCTGACACAGGGCTCAAACTCACGAGCAGTGAGATCATGACCTGAGACGAAGTCGGACGCTTAACCAAATGAACCGCCCAGGTGCCGTGAGACTTTATTTTTAGGTAATCTCTACACCCAACACCCAGCTCAAACTCACAACCCAGAGATCAAGAGCGGCACACTCCACTGAGACAGTCGGGTGCCCCAATTCTCTCTTTTAAATTTGTTACCAACAGATTATTCAAGACAATACTACTTATCAAGCTATTTGTTAGAAAACTGCAGTCCTGTTCTTACAGGTAGGGGCTGCTTTCCTACCACAGCACTGAGTCACCGTGGCCCGTGGATAGGTGGATTCCTCCAACAGTAGGGCTGCTGCCATATTTGTTTGTAATAAATAAAACACTCCCATGCATTTTTGCCATATGAAAGAAATGGACTACCATTTGGTGAAGGGCAGAATTTGCAGTGAAGCTGGCCTCATTCATTTCTTCCACTAGCTCCAGTTCTAATGCCAAATTATTACTAATTAAAAGATTTAAATATTGAAATAGAAAATAGAATTATTATGAACACCACTACTGTTCAAAAAAATTGGGAAAAAACACAAACACAAAAAAGTTCAAAGTCAATCTCAGAAAATGAGTAAGTACATGAGATCTAAGGTCAGGGGGCTAAAGCCAAAATTTGGAACAAGTTTTTTTTTTAACCTCTCTGGGCCAAGCTTTGATTTCTTTATCCATAAAGGAAGGGGTAAAAATAATACCTAGTCCTAGTGCTGGGATAGTTCAATGAAATAATTTATAAAGAACCTATGAATAATAAATCACTGTTTTCCAGAATAACCATCCCAGACAACCTATGCTATTTCTGTTTTATGAAGACCTTCCCTGATTTTTCCCTCAACTGAATGTTGGGGCAAAATATCTATTCTAGTAATAAAATATGTTATGACAACTCTAAGATTACCAGGAATGGCTTTCCTCCTACACAACTGTATGTTTAGAAGGAAAAATAAAGAAATTGGCTTCCACGTGACTGACTCCATAATGTATCTGTACAGGTAGTTTGTGACTAATGACATTAAAGAACTGGGACCTCTAAAAAAAAAAAAAAAAAAAAAAGGAAAGAAAGAAAGAACGAACGAAAGAAAGAACGAACGAACTGGGACCTCTGTGAACTTGGAGCCGGGGTCTTGCTCCCCTGACTTCCCTCCATCTCGACCCTCTCCAGGTGTCAACTTACTTTTTCTCCCCCTGAAAAGGAAAATATTTCTATGCATATATTTAAACCTTTAAATATAATTTTGGTCAGTTAGCCATTTAACAACCAACTGGAATAAAATTTTCTTCTCTCATTCATTTTTAACCTACACTGGTAAGGCACCTATCACATTTTTTTCTGTATCTTTATCTCTACTATGAAAGAATACCCTTAACTTTTTTTCAAACATTTTTACACATGACATTTTGTTTTATTTTTATTTTATTTTTTTCTTTCAGTTTATTTATTTATTTTTTTTTTTAATTTTTTTTTTTAACATTTATTTATTTTTGAGACAGGGAGAGACAGCATGAATGGGGGAGGGTCAGAGAGAGAGGGAGACACAGAATGTGAAGCAGGCTCCAGGCTCTGAGCTGTCAGCACAGAGCCTGATGCAGGGCTCGAACTCACGGACTGCGAGATCATGACCTGAGCCGAAGTCAGATGCTTAACCGACTGAGCCACCCAGGCGCCCAGAGTTTATTTTTTTGAGAGAGAGAGAGCAAGCAGAGGAGGGACAAAGGGAGAGAGGGAGAGAGAGAATTTCAAGCAGGCTTTGTGCTGTTAGCACAGGCCAAGGTGTGGTCCAATGCCATGAACTATGAGATCATGACCTGAGCTGAAACCAAGAGTTGGACTATCAACCGACTGAGCCACCCAGGCGCCCCTTATTTTATTAAAAAAAATTTTTTTTTAGACATTTTAATTCATTTTTGAGAGACAGGGACAGAGCGTGAGTCAGGGAAGGGCAGAGAGAGAGGGAAACACAGAATCCAAAGCAGGCTCCAGGCTCTGAGTGGTCAGCACAGAGCCTGATGCAGGGCTGGAACTCACGAATCACAAGATCATGACCTGAGCCAAAGTTGGACGCTTAACCAACTTAGCCACCCATGTACCCCAAATGTTTGTTTATTTTTGAGAGAGAAAGAGAGAGGGAAAGAGCATGTGCACACGTGGACACGCTTGCCCATGCGTGAGAGAGGGAGGGGTAGAGAGCAAGGGAGTCAGAAGACCCAAAGCGGACTCTGCACTGACAGCAGAGAGCCCTATGTGGGACTCACAAACTCACAAACCAAGAGATCATGACCTGAGCCAAAGCTGGACGCTTAAGTGTCTGAGCCACCCAGGCGCCCCTAACTTTTGTTTAATTAAAATATCCTTTCCAATATTATAATTAAGAAAACATTTAAATTTAATAGATGTTCATGATAAAAAGAAAGAAAGGGAAAGAAGGAAAGAAAAGAAAGAACCCCAACAAAGTGAAAGAAACATGCTCAAACAGATAAAGGAAAAACCGAGAGCCAGAAGCAAATCAAAATTAAATATTTTTTTTAATTTGCTGGAAGCTCAAGATTAATAATTCACTTTAAAGAATTTTTTTCATCATTGGAGACTTTATACAGTACATCTTTTTTCAGCAGGAGTGGGAAGTTAGGGGGAGGCTAGCAGGGGGAAAAAACCACACACATACACGCGTAAGAGCTGTTGGGAGCATTTATAGCACCAAAGTAGCAGCACTCTCTGAACTGTACAGAACAACGGGGGAGTGGTGATGGTGGTGGTGGTATAACAAATATCTAATAAATCTTTTGCCTAAAATAGGAAATCTTTCTTCAGCATACTTGATTTCTCTGGTGTCAGAATTCTAAGCACCTACAATCCCTGAAGGAATGGGACTCTATAATTATTCTGCCAGACTCTATAGTAGAATACATTAAGGAAAAAGTCTCAGTCATTGTGACAGGTGGTAATGACAGAACAGATAAGAGACCAACAGAACAGAATGGAGATCACTCACATAAAGGATCACCTGATTTATAACAAAGCCTCACCAAAATACAGTGAGGAAAGGTCAGCCTTATGCACAAATGGTCCTGGGTCAACGGGATACCCCATAGAGAAACATGACACTTGACATATAACAATTCAGGTAGATTATAGGTCTAAAATATAAAAGATAAAGACCAAGATGTCCATCGACTATAGAAGGGATAAATCATGTAATAATCACACAATGAAATATCACACAGCAGTAAAAAAGGTAAATTACTCCTATGCAACAATACAGATGAAACCCATAGGTATAGTTGTGAAAAAAGTTGAATAGGAAACAGGAAATACAGTATAATTCCATTTACATAAAGTGTAAGAGTAAGCAAAAGGATGGTAATAAAAGTCAGAAGAGTGGCTATCAGTGGCATGAAGTATGTATTTTGAGGGAGTTCAAGAAAGTATTCTGAGGTGCTGTAAATATTTTATATCATGATTCGTGTAATGATTATCTGAGTATACGCATAATTAGAAGTTCACCACACTGTACACTTAAGATGTATGGAATTTACCATACACATGTTATACCTCAACTTTAAAAAAATCTCTATTGAGGGCTCCTGGGTGGCTCAGTCGGTTAAGTGTCCGACTTCGGCTCAGGTCATGATCTCGCGGTTCGTGAGTTCAAGCCCCACGTCAGGCTCTGTGCTGATGGCTCAGAGCCTGGAGCCTGTTTCCGATTCTGTGTCTCCCTCTCTCTCTGACCCTCCCCCATTCATGCTCTGTCTCTCTCTGTCTCAAAAATAAATAAACGTTAAAAAAATTTAAAAAAAAATCTCTATTGGATTTAGTAAACTATAATAAATGAGTAATAGCACTAAAAAATTATTTGCAGGCATATCAAGAAACAGGACCAAGAGAAAAAACAGACAACAGAAGCAAACATGTAAGTCAGGGGTTGGCAAACTTTTTCTACAAAGGACCAGACAGTAACTATTTTAGATTTTGAAGGCTACAGAGAGTTTCTGCTACGTATTCTTCTATTTCTAAAAAATCTTTTAAAAATGTAAAAACCACTTTTAGCTTATGGTTTATATGAAAACAGGCTTTAGGTTGGATTCGGCCCATAGGACATAGTTTGCTAACCTCTACTGCAGGTAATTCAGATTTCAGACTAATCAAATGAAGATGTTAAAGAATCACTGTTAACATGTTCAAGACGATATAAGACAAGTGGGAAATTTCACAAGAGAACTATAATCTAAAAAGGGTCAAATGGAAATTCTAGAACCGCAAGGCACAATCCCTAAAATCAAGAGCTCAAGAGATGAGTTATCAACACATTTTATTGGCATTTTCCTTTTTCCTTTTTAAACAGGTTTCAATTGCTAAAGGAAGAGACCAAATGATACACAAAAACCATGGGAGAAATATGAGACAGTGAAAAGGATTGGTACCATGTAATTACAGTCCCAGAGGAAAGAAGAATGGGACAAAAGCCAAAAGGGAAAAGATGGCGGCCATGAATATTCCAAAACAAATAAAAGACCTGTAGCTGCAGACTCAAGAAGCACTATGACACGTAGGCAGCAATAAGTACAAAGACAAGTATACACAACTCACAGTAACGCTTATAAAAATCGATGAAAACAAATCTTCAAAACAGAGAAAAGACACAGAGCAAACTAAAATTGTTGCTGACACCTCAAAGGAAGAGACAGAAGCCAGAAAGAGACAGAAGCCAGAAGACAATGGCAAGCCATCTTCGAAGTGTTTTAAAAAAAAAAAAAGATTTTGCTGATCTAGAAATCCATTTCCATAACATGTCTTTAAAAAATCTTTCCACGTCTTTTATTTTTTTAAAATTTTTTTTCAACGTTTATTTATTTTTGGGACAGAGAGAGACAGAGCATGAACGGGGGAGCGGCAGAGAGAGAGGGAGACACAGAATCTGAAACAGGCTCCAGGCTCTGAGCCATCAGCCCAGAGCCTGACGCGGGGCTCGAACTCACGGACCGCGAGATCGTGACCTGGCTGAAGTCGGATGCTTAACCGACTGCGCCACCCAGGCGCCCCTCCACGTCTTTTAAAAAAATAAAGAAAAAATAGGTGCACCTGTGTGGCTCAGTTAAGCATCCAACTTCGGCTCAGCTCATGATCTCACAGTCCATGACTTTGAGACTGGCATCAGGCTCGGTGCTGAAAGCTCACGGCCTGGAGCCTGCTTTGCCTCTCTCTTCTGCCTCTCTCTGCCCCTCCCTCCCCCCTCTCTTTCTCTCAAAAAAATAAACAAACATTTAAACAAATCTTAAAGAAAAAATAAATGTAGATAAATTATTAGATAAATAAAAAACCAAAATGATTCATCAGCAGCAGACTTTACTTAAAAAGGAATAAAAATGAGTTTTTTAAGAATTAGGAAACTGATGGGGCGCCTGGGTGGCTCAGTCAGTTGAGCGTCCGACTTTGGCTCAGGTTATGATCTCACGGTTCGGGAGTTCGAGCCCTGCGTCGGGCTCTGTGCTGACAGCTCAGAACCTGGAGCCTGCTTCAGATTCTGTGTCCCCCTCTCTCCCCGCCCCACCCCTGCTTGTGCTCTGTCTCTCTCTGTCTTTCAAAAATGAATAAACATAAAAAAAAAAAAGAGGAAACTGATCCTAGACAAAAGCAAGAAAATGCATGAAAGAAAAAAAAGCAACATAAAAGGTTAAAATGTATAGGAAAATCTACGTGACTATTAACTCCATAATAATAATGATGATGATAATGATGATGTCTTGTGAGTTTAAAATATAGGTGGCATTAATGACCACCACGTATCTACAATCCAATTCCTTTAGGATCCTTTCTCTGGTGCCTTCTGCTTCCCCTTCAGAGATAACCACTATTTTGAATTTTATGTTTTTCATTCCTTCAGTTCTCTATTTTAACCACACATGCACATTCCTCTAAATAACTTCAGTTGTGCTTTTCAATTTATATGAACAGAATCAACCTGTATGCATCTTGTATACACAGTTTATATTTTTTGTAATTTTTGCTTGACATTATGTTTGTGCAACAGCAGTGAAAATATCCTTCAGGAATAAGGTGAGACAAAGGCATTCTCAGATGACAGAAAATTAAAAGACGTTATTACCTACAGAACGAACTGCTCTAAAAGAAATGCTAAAGTCTAAAGGGAAATAATACGAGAGAGAAACTTGGAACTTCAGGACTGAAGGAAGAGAATAAAAAAAGGCAAATAAAAAAATATTTTTCTCTTTTTATATTTAAAGTGGGTTTCTTGTAGACAGCATACAATTTGGTTTTGTATTAAAAAAAAATCCAACCTGATAATCTGTCATACATATAATATATACATATGAATATTGGTAACAAAAATTATAACATTACGTGGTAGAGATTTCAATGTATGTAGATGTAATATATACAACCACTATAGAGGGGGAGAATTAAGTGAACTATAAGGTTATTAAGTTTTCTGCACTTTATTTGAAGTGATAAATTATTAACTCTAAGAAGGCTGTGAAATAAATATTAGGTATATAAATCATAATCCCTAGAGTAAACACTAAGAGAGAGGAAGAAAGCCAAATACTCAACAGAAAAATTAAAATAATTTTTATTTAAAAATTCTAAGTAATTCAAGTAAATTCAATAATTCTAAGTAAACTCAAATAATTTCTATTTAAAAAAACTTTTTTTAACATTTATTCAGTTTTGAGAGACAGGGAGACACAGAATCCGAAGCAGGCTTCAGGCTCTGAGCTGTCAGCACAGAGCCTGATGCGGGGTTCGAACTCACAAACCACGAGATCATGACCTGGGCCAAAAAGTCAGAGGCCCAACCAACTGAGCCACCGAGGCACTGCAGTAAATTCAAATAATTTTTTAAAAGGGAGGCAATGGGAAAATGAAAAACAAAACCAAAGGGGACAGATAGTAAATAAAAAAATAGTACATATAAATCCAGCCAAACCAATAGTAATTAAATTCAAATGATAAAAACACACCAATTAGAAAAGTAGAGATTACGATATTGGCTGTTTTGTTAAACAAAACAAAAACAAAACCTAACTATACACTGTCTACCAGAAGCCCACTTTAAATATAGAATGGAACAGAATAAGATAGAAGTAAAGGGATGGAGACATATCACTAATCAAAAAAAGCTGGAGTGGCTACATTAATTAATATCAGACAATGTACTTTAAAATAAGAAATATTACCAGAGATAAAGACAGAAATTACATATGGATAAAGTGGTCAGTTGCCAAAAAACAAAAAAGGTAACAATTCTAAATGTGTATGCACCTAAAACAGATCTTCAAAACATATAAAGCAAAACTGATAAAACTAAAGGAGACATAGATAAATCCAAAATTATACTTGGAGACTTCAATGTTTTCCCTTTCAATCATGAACAGAACAAGCAGAACAGAAATTCAGCAAGGATGTAAAAGACTTGAACAACACTAATCACTTTCACCTAATTCACATTTATAGAACACTCAGCCCAACTATAGCAGAATAAACGTTATTTTTAGTGCACATGGAACACTGACTAAAACTGGATCATATTGTGGGCCATGACACAAACTTTAACAAATTTTAAAGTATGTTCTCTGACCATGATGGAATTAAAATAAAAATCAGTAATAGAAAAATATGTGGAAAATCCCCAAATATTTGGAAGTTAAGCGAAAATTTCTAAGTAACACAAGTCAAAGATGAAATCACAAGGAAAACTAGAAAATATTTTAATAAAATGAAAATGAAAATACAACATAGCAAAACCTGGGGGATGTGTCAGTAAGTATTTAGAGGGAAACTGACAGCATTAAATGCACTTAAAAAAGGTAATCTCTCAAATCAATGGTCTAACCTTTTGTATTAAGGAAACTAGAAAACAAATTAAACCCCTCAAAAAAAGCAGAAAAAAGGAAACAATAAGGAGCATAAATCAAAGAAATAAAAAATAAAACCAATAGAGAAAATCAATAAAGCCAAAAGGTGACTTTTTAAAACGATAACACTGATAGACCTCTAGCCAATAGAGGTAAAATAGAAGATACCAATATAAAGAGTGCAAACAGTGACATCATTACAGTTCCTACAGATACTGAAGGGATAATAAAGGAATATTACAAATAACTTTTGTCCTTAGAGAGCTTAAATGGAATAATTCCTTGAAAGGCACAAACTTTCCAAAGCTTCTTCAAGACACACAACCAAAAAAGATACAATTCAGTTACCTTATTATATGTTTAATTTGTAGCAAGATACTACTCTCCAGCGTAATGTTCAAAGCACTTATTAGGTACTTATTGAACTCCTCAAAGAACATTTCATTCCCTTCTTCGTACTTTCCATAGTTCTTTGAGTATTCCTTCTGAATGCAGTGATTGGTCAAATGGCAGGTTTTGTCTTGGAAATTATCAACATGATACGGTTCTGAAGCAGTCCGAAGCACACCCTCTTTGTAGAGGTAGATATTATACTGATGATCCACTAAGACCCAGCTTCTGCAAGTCAATGAGAACAATTTTATTCAAAGTTTCTCCACAGTATATACATCATCCCCATTCCTTACCTTTTTTGGAGGGATGTAGAGGAAGGAGGTAGATTCTAAAATTGTATCAGGAAAGCCATAGCCAAGATAGCAGATTATGAATCTGCTATTAGCTAAGAGAGCAGATTATGACATAAATGACAAGAAGACTTTGATCAGTTCAAAAGATACAGCATTTTAAAGAGATCCAGATGGGCTGGGTCCTAAGGTTTATCCATGAAACCTCCATTTGCCATGTTTGCTCTATTAGTAATCTTAAGAGGAAGACTGTTCACCCTGAAGCTGATCTGACACAGGACTGGTGTTGAAGAAGAGCAAGTCATTACAAAGGCATCAAGAAGACAGAGTCCTCAATGAGGAAATGTCAGCAAGGCCACAGGAAGGCTGGGGACAGGGCTGTTTAAAGCACGATACAACCTCTTACTCTATGCCAGGCCCATTGCTCAGAAAGTTAAAATCCAAAAACCTAAGGTGTGTTTATGAAATTCTTAAAAAATAGGACACAAATAATGAAGTAAGAACATTATTATTTTGTTGTGTCTTAATTATGAGTTGTATGTACATCTCACAGCTTTGTCCATAAGCAAGCCCCATACATTTAGACTCTCTTCTTTGGAGCCACAAGTCATTTTGATTAAAGAAAACATACAAAAAAGAGAAATCCATAATTTTAGCAACATTTCTACAAAGAAAAGAGAAATACTAAAGGAAAAACAGAAAATTAGGTACAGAACCTCAGTTCTATTAAGCTGTGCTCAATTTTGGCTACTTATGAAACATGGCCAAATACTTCCTTACATTCCATGTTACCCTCCTCATCACCCACCCCTGCATTATTTTCACCTCAGTAACAAAAACTCCAGACACTGATGCATTACCGAATGTCAAATTTGCGGTGACCTGGCTCCAGAAGCAGAGGGTGCTCAAGGTATTTCTGGATCACATGCACCTGACCCTGGTTGTCAATGAAATCCAGAAGTTCTGAAGCCTCCGAGGAGATGAGGATGCCTTCACCTAACAGGGCAAAATTGTAACAGAAATCAGTCAAGTTCATCCCAAGAGTTAAAGCTCTCTACAAAGCCAGCGGGGAGATACTGGGAGAAAACTGGAAGGAGGCTTCTACTGGCCTGCTCACTCTTCCTCTTCCATCCCTTCAGTCCCCCAAGTCTCTAACACTCTCCCCTCTGCCCATAAGGGCACCAGGGCTATCTACTTCCTTCTCCACATAGGACCATGAACACTAACTACTTTGACAGGCTCCAACCATGAAATTTCCATTTTTACAGACATTCAAAACACCCAAGCATCCTAAATAAATGCCACTCTACTGTTGGTCACTGGCTACCATGATCAAAACTTTAATAAAGCCACCTCTCACTCTACAGCTTATAGAAATATCCAGAAGGTTAGAGCATAAACACACTTGTACAAGTCAATTCCCTATAGCATTGTAATAGGAAAAATTATATACGTGTAAAGTGTCTATCAACATTAAATAAATGTCCTTTCAACAGTTGTATTGAGATGCATATTACATACTATAAGATTTGCCCTTTTAATGTATACAATTCAATGGTTTTTCATATATCCAAGAGATTTGCAACCATCACTAACAATTTCAGAACATTTTCCTCACCTCCCCCCAAAAACCCATGTCCATTAGCAGTCATTTCCCATTCTTTCCTTACCCTATTCTCTGACAACCACTAATATACTTGATGTCTCTATGGATTTGCTTAGTCTAGATGATTCATATAAATGGAATCATAAGATATGTGGCCTTCGTGTCTGGCTTCTTCACTTAGCATAATGTCTTCAAGATTCATCCATATTGTAACATGTACCACTACTTCATTCTTCCTTTCCAGGACTTGGTAATATTCCATTGTATGGATATAGCATTTTTGTTCATCCATTCATCAACTGATGGACATTTGAGTTTTTTCCATTGTTGTCTGGTACTTATAAATAATGCTGTTATGAAGATCTTCATAGAAGTTTTTGTGTGGACATGGTTTCAATTCTTTCATGAATATACCTAGGAGTGAACAGTCAGGTCATATGGTAACTCTTATGTTTAACTTTTTGAGAAACTGCCAAACTGTTTTCCAAAACGTCCATGTCATTTTACATTCTCAATAGCAATATATGAGTATTTCAATTTTGTCACATCCTTGCCGACACTTTCTGTCTTCTTGATTATAGCCATCCTAGTGCGTATGAAGTGGTATCTCATTGCAGTTTTGATTTGCATTTCCCTAATGACTAACAACATTGAATGTGTTTTCATGTGCTTATTGGCCATTTGTATATCTTCTTTGGAGAAACGTCTGTTTAGTTTCTTTGCCCTTTTGTTAATTAGGTTGTTTTTGTTTTTGTTTTTTTTACTCTTATCCGAGTTCTTTACACACTCTGGATACAGGATATAGATCCACATTCTGGATCCATTATTGCACGGATCCCTCAGTGTTGTTACAACTACTTCCTTCCTCATAACACCCTCCTGACAACTACTAATCTGTTCTCCATTTCCATAATTTTGTCTTTTCAATAATTTTATATAAATACGATTATATAGTATGTGATCTCTGGGGATCGGTTTCTTTCATTCAGCATGATTCCCTGGAGATGCTTCTAAGTTGCTGCATGTATCAATAGTTCATTCCCTTTTATTGCTGAGTAATATTGCAAGGTATCAATTCACCACAGTTGGCTTAATCCTTCAGCTTTTTTTTTTTTTTTTTAATCATTCAGCCTCTGAAGGAATTTGAGTTGTTTCCAATTTGGGGCTATTACAAATAAAGCTGCTATGAACAATCATGTATAGATTTTTGCATGGATGTGAGTTTTTATTTTTCTTTCTCTTTCTTTCTCTTTCTTTCTTTCTTTCTTTCTTTCTTTCTTTCTTTCTTTCTTTCTTTCTTTCTTTCTTTCTTTTCTTTCTTTCTTTCAGTAGGCTCCACACCCAATGTGGGGTCAAACTCACGACCCTGAGATCAAGAGTCACTCCACCAAGTGAGCCAGGCAGGCACCCCAACTTTTAATTTTTCTGGGACAAATGCCCAAGTGTGTGCAATTGCTAGGTTATATGGTTCTTACAGGTTTAGTTTTACAAGAAATCACCAAACTTTTTTCCATAGGGGCTGTACCATTTTACATTCCCACCAGCACTGTGTTATTGGTCTAGTTTCTCCTGACCCTTGCAGCATTTGCTGTCATTACCATTTATTTTAGTCATTTTAATAGGACTGTTGTGGTTTTAATTTGCATTTCCCTAATGGTTAATAATACTGAAAATCTTTTCATTTGTAATTTTTTATCTGCAGAGCCTTTCAACGGTATGCATTCTCATGTCTTTTGCCTAGTTTCTTTTATTTAATTTTATTTTTTTTAATTTATACCCAAATTAGTTAGCATATAGTGCAACAATGATTTCAGGAGTAGATTCCTTAGTGCCCCTTACCCATTTAGCCCATCCCCCCTCCCACAACCCCTCCAGCAACCCTCAGTTTGTTCTCCATATTTATGAGTCTCTTCTGTTTTGTTCCCCTCCCTGTTTGTATATTATTTTTGTTTCCCTTCCCTATATTCATCTGTTTTGTCTCTTAAAGTCCTCATATGAGTGAAGGCATATCATTTTTGTCTTTCTCTAATTTCATTTAGCATAATACCCTCCAGTTCCATCCATGTAGTCACAAATGGCAAGATTTCATTCTTTTTGATTGCTGAGTAATACTCCATTGTATATATATATACCACATCTTCTTTATCCATTCATCCATTGATAGACATTTGGGCTCTTTCCATACTTTGGCTATTGTTGATAGTGCTGCTATAAACGTGGGGGTGCATGTGTCCCTTCAAAACAGCACACCTGTATCCCATGGATAAATGTCTAGTAGTGCAATTGCTGGGTCGTAGGGTAGTCCTATTTTAGTTTTTTGAGGAACCTCCATGCTGTTTTCCAGAGTGGCTGCACCAGCTTGCATTCCCACCAACAATGCAAAAGAAATCCTCTTTCTCTGCAT